CATTGTAAGTTTTAAGATATAGCCACAAAGACTGTAATTGAAAAAGCAAGGAATAATATTTAAAGTAGTCACTTCAGGGATCATGAGACCCGCAGCTTGCCTAGCTCTGGTTAATTGACATACACCTGTTTCAAAGCCTGAATATTAACTTCAGCATATTATAGCTCTGAAATATTAGCTGGTAATAACTAATAATACAGTAAGTTATATTTTTATAGGCTACAGCATATTTATTATCCTTTCTCTTAATTCTCACATTTAAGGAATTAATTAGGTCTGTCAGTAATGTAAATACTCTTGGAAAAGTCTATTTTAATAATCTTTCCTGCAATTGTCCAGATATAGTCTTAATCACTAATGACTAGCATAATTGGCTGGTTTAGGTTCCTCATCTGTTGTCTTCTTCTCAAAAGATACTCCTAGACAGCCTGTTTCCCATAGGATCAACATATAACTGACCATTACAGTCAATACAATTAATCTAGTTTCATGGGTGGACTTTCTGTAATGTACATTAAAGGTGGACTTGGGAAATGGGTCCATACAAGTCTTTTCAGAATTTTTACTTACCTGAGCAGCTCATGAAGCTACGTGGCTATAAACTCTGTAGCTGGAAATTTACCTTCTTGTGCTAGATTTCTCAGTCATTATCATGATGACTGGTTTAAATTGTCCTTTGAAATCTGATTTAATTTACTGAATCATGTTCTGTAACATTAAGACTCTCAATAAAACAATTTAAGAAAAATTTTTAAAATATTTTGTAAGACCTAGTGTATGTCTCTGGGGTCCTATTCTCCCCCTTTTCTTTATTTAATAAAATTGAGTAAAGGCTTGTCATAAACCATAGTATCATCAGTTTAAGTTATAAATAATAGTATAAGTAATTAAATGATAAGAATAGATTTTCCTTTTATTGATTATTGTATTGTTTAATATAGATTAGTTGATTCATTCTAACAATTTAAAAGAGCTCTTGATCTCTTTTTGAGGACTTAGATATTTAAGAATATTATCCTTTAAATAGGTATCTCTTAATTGTCTTTTAGAAAATATGATTAAGGTTATTTCCCAGTGTAGGGAGCACTATATAAATCTTACCATATTTTTATGGATAATAGGTCCAGTCAGAGAACTTACATAATATCAATGAGTTTTCAAAGTCTGTAACCTTTATTGTTCAAAATTAACATACAACTTTAATTTGGAGAACCTCAGTCCTAATAAAATATTCTC